AAAAAATATAAATGTTCATAGAAAAGACATATAAAGACCCAGTTTTACTTCCAGGCAACATACAACATACCAAAGATACCAACAAAATGCTTTTCAAAGAGGAGGGAAGGGGGAGATAGAGGCACATGAGGGACAGCACAAGGAAAATGGTGATCAGTAAGGGATTCAGTCTTCGAATGATAACTTGTCCTCAATTTAGAGATTGGAAAATCTGGGCTTAAGGAAACTTTAAACTTATGTCTAGAAAGGGTGTGGTGGCTCATTCCTGCAACCCCAGAACTCTGGGAGGCTCAGATTTATACCTAGATTTTACTACACTATCTTGAGAATCTGGAGAAAAGACAGAAAATTTTGTGACAAGGAAGGAGACAGCTGGCTGAGTTAAAGACAGAGCTTCCCAGTGGGTCAGCTTGAGATGCCCTTCCTGCCCCAAGCACCGACATTTCTCCCTGTGAGTTCCTTCCTCTTCCTACCTTCTTGCAGCTGGCACCATCCTCTCTGCTTCTTAGGTGTCTATGAGCATTTGTAAACAGCACAGCCCCACAGTGTCAAGGAATGGCTTCACAGCTGTGTCTTCAAAATACAGAATATGCTGACTAATGTAGCCATCTATTCTCTCTTTCATCCTAGACAACCTGGATTCTTCCTTCAACAATTACTCCATCATAACAGCCAAATCTGATGATGTTTTCTCAGTCCACATCAAGTCAGGCCTTGGTTGACTCTTTCCAGGATGGCTTCCTATACCTCAGGGGCAGATCTGTTTCTAATGCAGGAAGGTTTGGTCAGAACACAACAATTTCACCGGGCTAGTGCCACCTGGGTTAGGAGCTCCACAGAAATACAGTCCATCCATTGGCCAGCTCCATGCTGGGGAGCCTGAGTCCCTCTCCTGTAGGGTTCCCTGGGACTCACTCTATTCAAAATCTAAAACAAGGTAAAGGGGCTGGTGAGATGGCTCAGTGGTCTAAAGCACCTACTTAGAACAAGCTTAGCAAAGCACAGAGACCACGGTTCAATCCCCCAGCACCACATGCCAGCCACCCCGCCTCCTGGTGGGCTGAGCTGGCCACACACACA